GAGCAAAAAAAATACATATATAATAAAATTAAAACAAAAACAAAAAACAAAAAAACAAGCAAAAAACAAAAACAAATAGAAAACCTGTAAGAAACATGTTTTTCTTTGCTTTCTTGTACAAGTAAACATTCAACATTTGTGCACAGCATTTCTTGAGACTTCACTGTGCATCAGGGACTGTACTCAACACTTAGTAGTTATTATTAGTGGGTATTGCTCCTAACAACAGTCCTGGAAAGCAGTTTTCTTTCTCACTCACTTTCTATGCATTGTCTGTGTTCTTTCTTCATCCTTAGGACTTACTTTATAAACCCTCTGCAGCCATTTATGTCTCTTCTTCCCGAAAGCCCTCCAGGGCTAATCCAACCCACACTAATTTCCCTCCCTTCTCCGGACCCAAGACCCAAGTATGTGCAAAAAAAGGGGAAAAAATGTGACATAAAACAGCTCCATCTGGATAGAATTACCAAGTAATATCATTACTCCAAATAGATAAAGGATTAAAGGATAAAAATCATAAATGTCACACAAATATAAAGTAAACACATGTCTAAAATTTTTATTTAGCTTATTATCAAAAGAATCATTAAAGATGTATACAATGTTCTTTCTCATATGCAGAACCTAGATTTAAATAGACATGAAGCCAGGTGTGGTGGCACACACCTGCAGCTCCAGCACTGGGGAGGTGGAGGGAGGAAGATCGAGAGTTCAAGGTCAGGGGCTGGAGAGACGGCTCAGCAGTCGACAGCACTAGCTGGTCTTCCGGAGGACTTGGGGTTCAATTCCCAGAACCCACATGAAGGCTCATAACCATCTCTATCTTCAATCTTAGGGGATCTGATACCCACATACACAGATATACATGCTTGTAACTCCAGGTCCAGGGAATCTAGTGCCCTCTTCTGGCCTCTTACAGCACCTGCACACATGGCATATACAAATACATACACAAAAATAAAATCATTTCTCTTCAACGAAAGGAAGGAAAGAAGGAAGGAAGAGAGGAAGGGAGAAAAGGAGGGAGGGAGGGAGAGAAGGGGGACTATCTGGGGTCAGTGGGAGAGAGAAGGGAGATAGAGAAAGTAATGAGGTAGATATGAGCAGTGTATAATGACACATGTATGAAAATGTCTTAAAGAAACTAATTGTTTTGGATTATTACTCTAATTTTTTTTTATTTTCGAAAGATGTTAAACTCTGTTCTATGGAGGCTCCAAAGACTGTGTGTTCATGCACAGCCATAGCCCAGCCTCCACAGACCTCATAGTTAACTCAGATGAAAAGTTTACATCACTGCACATTTTCTAGAACTTACAGATAATACAGTAGCCATGGCAGGAACAACGCCCTAGAGAAACAAATGACAATATTCAATTTAGAGGACACCTGGCTCTTTTTTTTTTTTGCCTATTTTTTAAAATCTCTTATTATTTTCTAGTGCTGCCTACCCAGCACTGGAGGGTTACTAGCTGTTGAGGGCCTTGACCACTCCATCTGTGAAGCTGCGGGTGAGGGGGGAAGGGCTATGTACACAAAACTGCCCAAGGTCTCAGCATACAGGGAGCTATCCCCAAAGAGCATGGGTGTTTCCATATTTTCTGCCTGAATTTTCTCATTCTGTGTCAGCTGTCACCTCTGTGCTTGTGACTTTAGGTAAGACTGCTCTCTCTCCCCATCACCTCCCACCAGCCATGAGCCAAGGTATCTTGCTTCATCAGCCCCTAATGCCACCAGAACAAGTTCCAGGGCACCAACAAGATAATTTATATGGAAAGAGGAAGATTCATCACCAAGCTGGAAGTTTTCTGGTCTCTCTGCCCCTACCCTCAAGGTCAAGGCTATGTAGAGATTCAGGTCCTTTATGATATAGCTCAAGACTGGGAAAGCATGGCACCATACTTTTATAAAAGAGACCTTTAGATAGTGCACCAGATGACTTAAGGGACCCATTCTTTTTCTTTTTCTTTTTTTTTTTTCTTTTTGGCTTTTTTCGAGACAGGGTTTCTCTATGTAGTTTTGGTGCCTGTCCTGGATCTTGCTCAGTAGAGCAGGCTAGCCTCGAACTCACAGAGATCCTTGTGGCTCTGCCTCCTGAGCACTGTGATTAAAGGCAGGACCCATTCTTTACAAAATGAAATTACTTTGGGGAATGGGATAGTTCCTTGTTAGTGATTAGGGTAGAATGAATATACTGTCACTCTAGGGTAAGTCTTGACAGCCAGCCTTTGGGGACTCTCAGGACAGTGTACTTAGTTCATTGTACAAGAGAATACAACAGACTGGAAATTTATAATGGACAGAAATGCATTTGGCGTGTGGCTCTGAAGGCCCAAAATTCCAGTATCAAGAGTCATACTTGGAAAAGGGCCTTCGTGCTGAATCATAGTATGTCTACAAGTATCCCATGGGTGAAGAGAATGAGGGAGGGGAACATCTAAGGGAGTCACTCCGAAGACAGCCACTCCCTCAATAATAACACTAATCCCTCCATAACAGCTGGGTTATCTCTTAAAGTTATCCACCTTTAACTCCTGTTGCACTGGAAATTCTAACAGCATGGACCCCGGGCATATGTTCAAACATTACCATGACCACATGAATTCCTGAAGGGCTGGCTCCCCTCACCAACATCCCTACCCGATACTTGACAGAGAAGATGCCAGACATCACTGTGCACCCCTGATGCCCATGAAGTGCACAGACGAATCCACTGGCACAAAGGATATTCATAGACAGGCACAGACTCACCCACTGGGACGTCCACTGCAGTGCTGTCTACAGGTAGAAAGGGGAAACAAACTAGATGTCCAACAACAGGGAACCAATAAAATAAAATACAGTAGAGCCCTCAAGTACAGTGCTAGGCAGCTCTTCAAACTGTGACCCAGGTGAGGAAAGAGGCCACACTCAGCCAGCTCATTCTAGTTAAGGATATATGCAGAGTTATACAACTTTTTTTTTTAAGGAGAAAGAAAATACAGTATTAAAGAGGGTGATTATGTTTTCTTCTTTCTCCCTTTGGTGTTTTCTTTGTGTCCTACTCTAATATGTATTTGTAGATGGGTATGGAGATGCGGTCACAATCCAGCTTCTTTAAGCTAGACCCAGACTTGAAATCTGACTTGAAACTTCCTTTGGATCTGAGGCACAGTTCTCTCAGACCAGAGATCCTCAAATGAGAGGGTGGGGAGTATAAAGCAATAGATTCTTTCGGGCTGTGTCTTTTCACTCAAAGTGAGCCACACCCACATCCCACACCCCGAAAACACATACACACTCAGGCTTGCCCAAGAGTGAGCATTCAACAACTAGACTATCCATCTGCTCAGAGGGCCATGGTCCGTTTTTGTGCAGTGGGCAGTGCTGTGGCCTAGGAGTCAGCCTCCAGTCCTGGCTCCCTGGTTTGGGTTTGGATTTGGACAAAGGGTCCACCCAGGCCATTTCTTAGGATCCTTCATTCTAACCTCATTGTTCACACTTCTCAGCCTCCCCTGTCCCCCATGATAGCTCCAAGGAGCTGAGATGAACCTCTATAGGTATGGGGAAGAACCAAGGACCCAGTCAAGGAGGCATAGTCCCAAATGAACACTTGCCCAAGGAGGTTGGTAGGGGATCTAATCCTGACTCCCCACATGGAAACAGCAGCCATGGTGTTTCCTAACAGAGCTGAGGTACAAAGCCATCTGTTTTCTCCTGGAGGCTGCTCTGTCCCTACCTCCCAGTTGGGGCCTGCAGCTGGCTCACTTCTCTTCCACAAGGTCCCCAGGGCACCTCTGCTTCCCCAAGGTTTTATCATCAACATGTTTAGCTCTTTGTCATCATGTTTTATTTTTGCGAACCGCTTCCCAGCCAGTGGCAGGCATCAGGGTTTCGGGTGTTCTTGCGTCTTTAAACTCCAGCTCCCTCATCAATAAAATGAGTCTTTAGAGAGGGTTGGCAACGACTCAATTCATGGATTCACTGGTCAGATTTACCAAGTGTCATCCTGTGCAGACCCCCACAGTCCCACTCAGACGCAGCAGCCCTTTCGGGACTCTCCCAAGGGAATAAATATTCAAAATGATTCTACCAGTAACTGTAGAGCACACCAATATATTTAAGTGTGCAATTAACAGGGACCTTTTGGTAATGATGAAAAAGAAAGGCCTGGGGATGGGTGGGGTGGGGCATGCCTGAGGCCCCCAAAGTGGGGTGAATGCAGAGGAAGAGCTGGAACCCAGGTCTCTCCCCTGAGCCAGGGACCTACCAAGGCAGGCTTGCATCCCACAAGACTGAGCACCAAGACAGAGCACCGGGTGGGCAAGGGGTGAAGAAAATAGACCTGCTGGTAGCTCAGACTGGAGGCCTTGACCAAGCCTACGTGAAGAGAATTTTAGCAGCTGGGAGCCAGCGGCCCTGACAGGCTCCTCTGTCCATCCCAAAGGCCAGCAGGCTGTGTCCCTCCTGCCGCCCCCACCCTCCGTTCTGCTCTTTGCTCTTGTCTCTGTCCAGCCTGTCTGGCTGTCCTTCCCTGACATATGGTTGGTCCACCCTTCTCTGCACGTGTCTGTCTGTCCACCCTTCTCACACGTCTGCCCCAGCGCATCGGCCTCCCTGCATCCCTGGGCCTCCTCGCCGCCCTGCCCCGCCCGCCGCTGTGTGGGAGTCGGGCTGGCTGTGCGCAGAGGGGCGCGGCTCGGCGCTCCCACCTCCCCCACGTCCCCATCTCAGCAATGACCCGGGCCGCGCTGCCGCCGAGCTGAGACCCGGGAGCCGCGCCGCCGCCGAGGAGGACCCAAGAGGGTGACGGTGGCGCGAGCGGCGGCGCGGGGACGGCGACCGGCGGCGAGGCGGGGCTGCCGCAGGGCAGGGCAGGGCAGGGCAGGGCCCGGGAGACCGCCGCCAGCGGCTCGTTTGGGGATCGTGGGCGCGGGTCCCCTCGGCCCGGCCCCGCCGGTGCGCCCCGCCCCTGCACGCACAGCAGGCCCAGGCGGAGCGGCACGACGCCCCAGCCCAGCCCGAGCGCCGCGACATCCGAGCGGGAGCTGGAGCCCGAGCGGGACCCGAGCTGGAGCCGAAGCTGGAGCCGGCACTGCGGCGCACGGAGCGGAGCGCGGCAGCCAAGCCGAGTAAGGGGCGCGGGGCACCGGGAGGGTCGCGGAGGGGGTCCCGGCGGCTTACGCACACGACCGGGGACGCGCTGGGCGGCGGGGGACGCGGTCCCGAGCGGAACCTCAGCGAGCGCGGAACTGAGAGCCTTCCCGGGACTCCTGAGGTTCCTGCTCCCGCATCCTCGAGGGGGTCACAGAGACCCGCTCAACCCCCGGGAAATGCAAGGAACCCGAGGTCTCCCGCCTGCCTGAGTCTCAAACGAGTATCCTCCGGTGGTGGAAGCCCAAGACAGGGTCCCCAGCTCCGCGCCCTCGGTTTGGAGGGTCGCGGACCAGTCCACTCAGGAAAAGACACTAGGGTGCACTCTTATCTGGGTTGGGAGAGGAGAAGGATTGAGGTTCTACGGAGTTTGAGCTTGAACCCTTTCCCACCACCTTAAGCCAGGAAGTTTGACGCTCCAGCGGGCGGCTCACCTGGACCATGCCCCTGATATTGTAGCACCTAGGACAGAAGGAGCTTCCTCGCGCCGTCCCTCGCCCCCCTTCCCCGTCTCCCCGCGTCCCCCCCCCCCCCGCCCCGCCCCGCCCCGGCAGACTTTCCCAAGTGCGTCTCTTGGGAAGAACCCGATGCTGAATCGGAGGTGGCGGTTCCGCTGACTGCGCAGCGCTGAGTGGCACTGCCACCTCTCTCCAGATTCCTTCCCAAGCTGGGTAATGCCCACTCTGCCCCAGCTGACTCTCGCAGCCCTTCCTGGTCGTCCTTCGGGCTCTTTTCAGTCCGAGAACAGGCGAGTAGTGTCGACCCTGGGCTACCTTCCTCAGCCACTCCAGTGCCCGCATGGGCAGCCAAACCCAGGCTAGGAAGGGGATAACACAAGTGACTCACCAGAGAAGTAGGGGGCTCCAAGAGTCTTAATTCACTGAGTCCAAGAGCACCTGAGGGCCAACAGAGGGCCCTCTAGATTCTCAATTATAAGGACTGCTTACTTCAACCACTGATTTCACCACCTCAGTTTCCCTCTTTGAAAAGTACGCAGGATTCTGTCAGTGGGCTGTGCAGAAACTTTGTAGCCATAAAACACCCTGGGCTGATTCCCTAGCCGTGTGATCTTCGGCAAGACACTTGACTTCTCTGAGCTTCAGTTTCCCTCACCAGAAACACGGAAGGTGAATCCCGCTCATTAGCTGACTCTTCTGGGGCACCTGACATATTGACTGCATTTGGCCACAGGTGTCATTTCCAGAGACAAAGTGAATTTCCCTGATGTGAGGGAACGTGATGCTGCTCTCCTTCCTGCCCTCTAAGAAAGCCTTTGGCTCCCCTAGCGCCTACTGACTTCTCATTGCAAAGCAAGACTTTCCTTTTGGCTTTTCTTTCTCAAGCACTTGCTGGCATCCTCTGCCCTGCCCAGACCCCCTCTCTATGCCTCTGGGTGGGTTGTAAAAGGCTCACTCACTACAAGGGGTGCCCTGCCCTTTTTCCTTTGGCTGATACTTGCTGCCCCAGGCTGAGACACCCCACATGATTGTTCATACTCTATACGCACACCTTTGTCCACTCTGGTTTGGGTGAAGGGAGGATCGCCTTCCACAGGGTGGCTTAGGTGAACCACAGTAATGGTTCCAACAGGTAACAAGAAGCCCAGTCAGTGGGACAGTGAGGTCACCATGAGTCAGAAGGGTACCCTCTGTGTTGATTCCTTGATGACTATGATGTGTCTGTCCGGGCCAGTAGGTCACAGGACCATGATAAACCTGATAAAGGAATTGGAGCTGGTGACAGATAGCATGTTTTGAACTTAAGAGCTGCCCTGTTTCCTGGACAGGATCCTACTGAGTCTGGGCGGCTGGGGCCTTAGGCCCAGAGCAGACCAGTCAGATGCCAAGGGCTTAGGGAAAATATAAGCATCCATGGGAGCAGGGGAGCAGGTATGATGTAGTGGGCCAGGAGCATTGGTGGAAAGAAATAGAGGACACCCATGTCCCTACCACCTAGAACTGGAATGAAATCAGGAAATATGTCCACCTGTTGCTGGACAGAATGGCTGCCTCCTTGGGGTTCTTCTCTCAGAAGTCCCTCTCTCCTTTTGTAACCTCCTCCATCCCTCCCCCATTCACTCACTAGGGTGTCCCATTCCCTGCATCTTCTATAACCCTTTCCCCTCCTCTTCCCAAAGGAGTTCATCAGCAGCTAATTAGGTTTGTTCTGCTGCTTCACTCAGTATTTGGAGCGCAGCTGATAGAGAACGTGATGGGGATGTGGGATGACCATGGGTCTTTGGCAATAATCAGCTGGACACCCTCAGAGGACATCACTGTCATTTGAAACCCTGGTCACAAAAGTGCACCAAGCATGGGACAGGGCACAGGAAGGCACTAATCAGCTCGCAGCTTCCTAAAAGAGAAACTGAGACCAGGGAGGCTTGCCCCTGGGCAAGTGGGCAGAAGGTAGTTTTGTGACTGTGAGCACAGCTCTTGGAGCTAGAGGCCAAGTTTACAGCATTTGATTCTGGGCAGGTGGCCTCCCTTTCACAGCCTCAGTGTTGTCTTGAAAATGGAATGAGTGTTGATTGCACACCTGTCAGGACAGTTGTGAAGAACTAATGCATGGGAGGCATATGACTGCGTCCGGTGGACGCTGGCCAGGGGCACTGCCACGTCTGTGTTGCAAACACCCCCACACTTGGTTTTGTAAGCACGGGGCATTTTCTCTTTGATTTCAGACGACCTCATTCTGGTAGAGTGGAAGCAGGGAGACACATCCTTTAATCATCCCCACGGTGTCAGTGAAGAACACTGAGGCTCTGGAAGGTTAAGGACCGGAGCTAGGTATAGAATACTTAACATCCCTGTGACTCACTGTAATTTTACATGAGTTTGTGAAATTGATAATTAGCACGTTTTAACTCCAGTGACATGCAGTTAGTTATCAAGATGATCCCTCCGTGGAGATCGTTAATCATTTTGTGTCTGAGGGCTGAAAATGAAAGTGCTTACTATAAGTCCATGGGCTATCGCATTTTTAGACACTCATTTTTTTTTTCTGTTCAAACAATTATCAAACTCATTTAGTTGAATTGACTTAAAAGAGCAGTCTCCCACTCATTATCTACACCTCTTCAGTTTTCTCTGCAGCACTTACCACCTCCAACATCTATAGCCCTTATTTGTCTTATTACCTTCCCTCAGCAATACCACTCACTGGGAAGTCTCCTGAGACTGCAATGGCACTCAGCATTTAGTATGCTTTGCAAAATCATAAGGTGTCGTGCAAAACAGGAGGTCTGCTATTTTTACTATTCTTGCCAAGTGTTCAGATTGATTAAAAACAAAATGTTACAGCATGGGAGACACCATTCCCTCAAATATTTGGCAAACACGACTTGCTTCAGGAGCTGGAAAAAAATGGCTCAGTGGTGAGGAGTGCTTGCTGCTCTTCTGGCAGAAGATCAGAGTTTGGATCCCAGCACCCACACCAACAGAGGCACCCGAAACTTCAGCTCGATGAGATCTCATGCCCTCCTCTGACCTCCAAGGCACACGTATGTGCACACATGAGCATATGTACACACACAGGCACACAGACAAGAAGAAGAAGAAATCCTTTAAAAAAAAAAAAGACTTGTGTAAGTATCAGGGATAATTTGATGATTGTTAAGAGGAATGAAGATTACAGGGCCTGGTGTTGCAAACGGTAATCCCAACCGCTCTGTAGGTTGAGACAAGGACATCATGGGCTCATGATAACTCTGGGCTACAGAGTGAGGCCAACCTGCGTTATTTAGTGACAAAAATAAAAATAAAAAATGTTTAAAGAATCCAAGGGTTGCGGTCGATGTAGCTCTAGTAGATCACTTGTGTCACATACACAAGACCCTAGGGTCAATCCCCCATACCATGAGCAAAGATTACTTTTCCAGTGTCTTTATGAACCTTCTTATCAGCAAATTAGATGGTGAGCTAACTTAAAAAAGAAAAAAAAAAAAAAAACAGCCAGGCGGTGGTGGAGCACACCTTTAATCCCAGTTCTTGGGAGGCAGAGGCCAGCCTGGTCTACAGAGCGAGATCCAGGACAGGCTCCAAAGCTACACAGAGAAACCCTGTCTTGAAAAAAAAACACAAGAAAAAAGAAAAAAAACCCATCAACTTCTCAGTAATAAAAGAAAATTTCAAAGGCAAATTAGCTTTAGCCTTTTTCAATGAACTTGCCTTGAATTTTTATTCAGTTACTTTCTACCACAAAAGGTTCTTTTCTGAATCATTTTGATGATCTTTCAGATTATAAAATCAATATGTTTCACCGTAGAAAATTTCGGATACCATAAAAAAATATAAAATACATGAAAAACTCTCCTTAATCCCTCCAGTGTATTCTATTTCCGTCCTAATCTTTTGCTGTGTGTGAATATTTCCACTGGGATTTTCTTCTACAAAATAAGGATCATGCACAGTTCTATAACCTGTTTATTTTTTCTAAAATAATCAGGATTCTTTTTACATTTAACATTTATACTGAGAGTATATGTTATTAAAATTTTTGAAAACCGTGATTTCATGGCTACATAATATTCCACTGGAACTGCATGCCATAATTTGTTCAGTCTGTCCTCTCCTATGGGTGGCCACGTTGGGATTTTGTCCTATTTTATTGTTATAATTAACACCTGCCTGGGTATCTTCTGATGTCACCGAGCCCTGAGTCAGGCTTCAGTGTACTCTTGGGCAGGACCAGGTCAGCTTGCAGATGGCCAAGCTCATGAAGTTGCATAGGACATCAGACCTCTATGTCTTGGCCACCGTGGTGGCATTTGACCCTGTAGAACAGTGGTTCTCAACCTGTGGATCATGACCCCCTTGCCAAAAATATTTGTGTCTCCAAAAATATTTACATTATGATTCATAACAGTAGCAAAATAACAATTATGAAGTATCAGCAAAAATAATTCTGTGGTTGAGAGTCACCACAACATGAGGTATATTAACAGGGTGCAGCATTAGGAAGGTTGAGAACCATTGCT